GCAAGTTCCTATGATTAATCCCATGCTCCTGGGGAAGGGGGGATGCAACACAGCTAGCTTCCTGGCCCCCTCTTCCCGCCTGTCTCTGCGAGCTAAGTGGGCTCAGTCCCTAGAGAAGGTCACCTGGCAGAGACTTGCAGAAGCTGCCAGTGGAAAGTTGGGCTAGTCTAAGCGAATATGCCAAGGGCCAAGGGCCAAGGGGTTCTTCAGAAGCAATTGTCACCAAGTAGGGAGAGCAGGTAGTTTACAGATCAGTAAAGTAAGTTTTGGCTGACATTATCACACACTGTGGAAGATGGTTGAGGGCTAAGAAGGCCTTCTCCTGTTGACTACTTTGGGCACACTTTTGGGTGCCTTTATTGCTACGGGGTAATCAACTGTTGGAGGTCTACTCCTCTGGCAGAAACTGTCTTGGTGCTCACACAGAAAGCTCTGCTTTCTCAGCCCCCAGCTGGATTCTGTTTCCCGGGCTTCCTTGTGGAAGGGAGCTCTGAGAGCGATGTAATGGTTATTGCGTTGCTTCCTGGCTCATAGACAAATTTACATGTGTTCTCCCCGTTCTTTACTTTTTGAGCAGCCTGGATTAGGGGTATCCCCCAGGGCCATCTAGGTCACACCTTGAGGATTCAGAAGTACAGTTAGAAGGAGCCTGCGTCCTTAGACCTCTTAGAAATGTACTCATTAGACTTGTATTGTGTTAAGCCTGTGACTTTGAAGGCTGTCTATCACAGTAACTCACATCACCTTAAATAATTCAGTTTAATACATGCGTGATCCAAAATTGTCTTGGGACACTGAGATGAGGCACAGCAGGTTAACTCATCATGTTGAACATGTATCACATATCAGAGGACCTGACTTTGAGTACAGCCTGCGCTTCTGATTGAACTAAGCAGATGATGACGCGACTACTTGGGTTCTGCCACCCATGTGGAAATTTCAGAGGAATTCCTGGGTCCTGGCTTTAGCCTGTCCCAGCCCTGGCTATGCATACATTTGGAGAGCAAACCAGAAGGCAAATCTCTCTCTTTGTCTCTCTCTCTCTCACCAACCCCTGTGTTTCTCTTTCTTCCCTACTCCCTCCATCCCTTACTCTGCCCTTTCAAAGAAAAAAGAGTGTTTTACTTTATGTCAAATTACATACTCATTTATTAGCTGACCATTCTCTAAAAAGAGGGATTTTGGTTTGAGCAGTCTGCATCTTCCAGGGAGTGAATAATCTCCTGGAATGTTGAACTCTGACTTACCCTAACCTGAACAAGGATGCATCACAGAATCAGAAAATCCTCATATGGAATATGAGAGAAGTGAGCATAATTTATTGATAAAGGTGAATCCTCTTTAGATAACTGGGGCAAAGGTAGAGTGAATCCCTGAACTGGAAAGAACTGATCCCAGAGACCTTTCAGGATGCAAATTTGGTAATCAGAGAGAGAAGCAGTTCTACTAATGCTGCCACTTACCACGTGGAAAGATGTGGGTCGTCTGGCTTCTTTTCTGCATCTATAAAATGGATGCGATAATCCCGACCTTTCATGGTACAAATACAGAATGTAGACTCAGAAAACTGCTGCTAGTACAGTACCTGTTCTTTTATCCTTAAACTTAGCATGGGAAATTCCACTCTTTTAGATGCAGTGATGGCAATTTTGGGGGGGGAATCCTATGATCACGTTAGACACGAGGATTGTGTAGGAGAAAAGTTATTGTATAGAAGAGAAAGACAAAGTTCTTGGCCTCTCCCTCTCAGTTCCCACGTGCAGCCACTAGAGGGCCTTGGCCGTCTCTGCCACTGGTTGAGATGGGAGCCTCTAGAGGCCCAGCGGATCCTGAGGAAAGACGTTCTTTGCAGAGAGAGGCCAAGGGACAAAATATTTGAAGAGACAGACATGTGAGCAGCTGCCAGGGGTCACATTTACAGGTGCACTATGTGAAATGGCTAACATGAGAAGCAACGTCTCCCATTGCGCAGTTGATCCACCATCCATTCAGGGAAATCCTTGGTATGGCCCAGGCGCTGACTCAAGTCAGGGTCTCTTTGTTTTATTGAATGCTCTGGGCACTGAGGCCTGAGTTTCTGAGAATGGCTTACTGATTTCTGGGGCTTTGGGACTTCAAAATCAGCCCGTCTTGACAGAGGCATATTACAGTTGAGAACGTTTCCAGAGGTGAGGGAGCATGCTGCTATCCTATGAATGACCAGGGATATTCTCCATAGGCAAAGAGTTAAGAAGCTCCCCTCTGTCCCCAGTTAACTCTACCTCCCATCTGTAAACTTATTAGGACAACAACATCTGATATCAAAAAGCACGCAGCCTGGGGAAAAGATTGCTCTTGTCAGACTCTCTCAATGTAGTGTGAAGAACTCAGCTCTCCATGCCATTCCACACTACAACTTTAGCACCACACCACCTTAGACATGGCTCTAAGACTCCCCATTCAGATCTTGCAGTTTTTTTATTCTCTACATCCTAGTTTTAAGAAAACCAGTTTTGTGTCTTAATCTGAATATGTAACTCCTTCCTTCTTTTCGGCTTTTGTGATTGGAATGCACTGGAATGAATAGACATTTCCCTGATTTCTGCTGCTATTTTACCAATCTGTGTTGAACTTACAAGAGGCTCTTGTTGTAGTACATTTTTGTCTCTCATTATCATTCAGTCGAACATCCCAATTACATGATCCCTAGCTTCTACTTGAATACTTGTCCTGCCAGGGAACTCATCAATGCAAAGATGATACACTCTTTTGGCAGTCAACTCTGTGGAAAAAGAGTTTTCTTGGGGCGTGTGTGCTGTGCTGTGTGTAGTTGGTTAAGCTGCCCTTGGGACATATTCCACAGCGTGGGACCCGTTGGCGCCTTAAGTTCTTCTGTCAGCAATCCACCTTCCTGTTGATGTGTCTTGAGAAACTGCGGAGGATGGTTCAAGTGCTTGAGTCCTTCCCTCTCATGTTTGAGATACAGACTGAATTCTGAGTTGCTGCCCAGTCCTGGCTGTTGTGGGCATTTGGGAAGTGAACCAGCAGATCTAAGAGTCTCTCTTTGCTTCTCTGTTTTCAAAACTATATTTAAAAAAAAAGAATAGTTGTCCTGTTATTAGAAACCTAGAAACCAAGTCTGCTTTCCTGGTATATGGACCCTCAGTTCAGAATGAGGGCTTTCATTCCATTATTAGGATAGACCTTAATATCCTGAAGGACAACTTATATTAGAGTGTAAATAGTTCACTCTGCCTGGGTGTAAATGGCAGGAGCTTTTCCATCAGAATAGCATTTTATCAGGAGAACCTCACAGTAGAATTGGGAATATCAAAAACACCAAGAATATAAGGATCACCAAAATGTGATATCATAAAAAGAGGACTGGGCTAAGAAACGAAAAGTGCATCCAGTATGATCTACACTTCTGGAACCTTGGTTTTCCCATCTGGGCAACTAATGGTTTTCCCATCTGCCTGATGAGGAATTCTACTGAATTTTGTAACTGCAGGATTTTATCTCGAAGTGGTACCACTCAGCTAGGGCTGTCTTGAGCCTTTGCACTGGGTTTGGCTGTCTTAGCTTTGGGTAAGTAAATGCCGTGTGGGGGTCAGGGAATGTCCACCTCTTGGGCCAGTAGACATTCTTGGGGTTGGGTGTTGTAAGTACCGTTGTGTCAGTCGGTGAAGCATTTATTTCCATCTGGGTTGAATTTTTCTCCTGCCTACCTTGACTCCTCCTTACCTTCAATAGGACTATTTAATGGGATTTGACTCATAAAATAAGGATGTAAGAACATAATTTTATTATGATTTTATTATATATATATGTATATTCTCTTTTCCTGGAGTTTTGCAAGTGAAAGTTTGCATAAAAACCAACTCTTTATTGGCCTAAGTTCCACCCTTCAGAACTAGGTTATCTTACAACTGCTTGATGCACAAGACCCAATGGCTCAATAAATACTTTACAAAAATAATGAAGTTTTTCCCCCTCTTTCTTAAAATATATATGTATGTATATATATGTATATATATATGTATATATATATATATATAAAATTAGGATTTCCCAGACTTCAGCCCTTCCTCATCTTTCATATTTACTTGCTAGGAATAAAATGGAGAAAAAAATTAAGGTGTCATTAAAATAAGTGAAATGAAATTCATGTTCTTTTCCCACATATATTTATACCTCCCTGCCCGCCCCCGCGTTTTGGAAAAGTGCTACTCCTTGTTTTTATGTCTGATCTTCCTGCAGTCTTCTGAACATAATAATACATGCACAGTAACTCTATGGGGAGAGGTGGGTATTGTAGTGGAATCACAGAGTTAAGCTAATATTGACCTATTTTAAAGCCTATTTAAGACCAGGCCTCAAATTTGCTCCTAAAAGTGTCCATTAACCGTTAACTGAAGCAAGAGAATGTTGGCATCTGGAACCTCTGCAAGGTGCCTAATAGCTAATTAGCATTTGGTTGAAAGTGGGTGTTTTCTTGTTTTCATACATTTCCATTGCGTTGCATATTTCTAGAGCAATCATTACAAAATTCCCTCTCCCTTCCACTTCCCCAAGCCCCCTTCTTTCTGAACTCTAACAGCAGTGATGAGCTTCACAAGGCCAACTCCAGAGAAAAGGTAAAGCTTAAATCACATTTGCATTAAATAAGTTATATAGAAGGACGGCTTACAATGTTTACACCTTGAGTCTCTTTCTTCCTTCTCTTCTCTGGGAAACATTGGCTATGGTGTGACCTGACTCACACCCACTATGGCTTCCTTGTGCCTTCCTCCTGTCCACATGCCCGTGGGAGGACTTGCCGGAGGTCTGCAGGGACTGCACATGGCACAGATGGCTTTGGGGGACCATCTCGCGGACCAGTGCACACCCCTAGTATAATTTCTTCAGTAATACTTGAGTGGTCTGTATAGATACACACCCAGGTGGGTGGGAAGGACAGGGTGCCGGCTGGCAGATCAGGGCCCTGTGTTTGTCACAGAACCGGTGGTGGCATCTCGCCTCTAATACTCCCTGGCCTCCTGGAACTGTTTGATGTAGTCCTCGTCGGAGGGGCTCTCTGCGCACTTCTGCCCGTTGTTGGGCGGCCTCGCCTCGTTGTACCGGCTCCAGTCGCCCTTGCAGATGATCCAGGGCAGGACGTCCACTTTGTAGTGGAGTTCCGCCGAGAACTCGGTACTGATGAGGTTGGGTGTGCCCGCCCCTTTGCCCCTGGTGATGAGTTGCATGTTGTCGCCATAGCAACAGTGCTGGGCGGCCAGCGTGGTGCTTTCCAAGGAGAGCATGGAGCGGATGCAGTATCGGGCTGTGGGCTTGTAGATCTCCAGCTTCTCCTTGGGCCCGCTGGCGTCCTTCCAGCGGAAGTCCTTGCGCTTGATGCGGTCGAAGATGTCCGCCGTGCTATAGGCCACCTCGGTGGGGTAGGAGCAGGGGCAGCTGGGCAGGTCGTTGATCACCTTGTGCATATACTTCTTTAAGAACTCACTTTTGCAGCTCATCCAGCGCTCACAGCTGTCCGTGTCTGAAAGAGATGCCAGAGAAACCCCTTCACCACAGCGCCAAGCCAGGCTACAGGATGGCAGTGCAGCCCCCCTCCTGAGGGGACCACCCTTTGGACCCCCAAGCCACAGGCAGGGTTGACTATTCTCACCTCCTTTGAGTCGAAAAAATTCTTTGTTTATAAAGCTTTCTTGCCTCACTGGAATTAATAGATGATTATTTTGGTGCAAAAAAACTTTTGAAATCTTTGAATATGAAGGGTATCTTTTTTTGAGTTCATGAAAATGCTTATTAAGAGAATTATGCATAAACTGCAAATTTTTACATTAAAATAAACATCTTTTAATTTAATATTTGAAAGTATCTTCATATTACCAAATTTTTTTTTCTCTTATATATGGAAAAGTAAAGAAAATATGCACAATGAATATTCACATCCCACGCCTTTAACCACCATTATAACCGCCATTATATATTCTTTCTTCTGGGGGAACATACAGTATAATTCGTACATCTGATCAGGAACAGGTGACACAACGTGGTGCTGTTTTTGCATGTCTCACCTCTAACCAAGTCAACCTGATTCCGGCGGCTGCTTTGCCTCCCTGCTCTAATCAGTGGTGATGTGAAAGGAGAGACCTCAAAGGAACATGTGAGGGCTGCCTTCCATTTTAACCCCGTCTCCCTGTTTTAACTTTATGCGTGTTGCAGGCACTGTTTGAGGCTATTTCAAAATGTTGGCAAGAAAAAGGAATTAAGAGACGAGTTTAACTTGTTCGTTTTTCAAACCTTCTCAGCTCTGTTATCCCATCTCCCCCCGCATCCTGCTTCCTTGCTGTTTTTATGTTTCCTTCCCCAGCTCCATCCACTGTGTCTAGTGCTTACAGCCTTCTCTCTGTTGCAATAAGAGGGAAATGATATGCTTCCTTGCTCACAGTAATCCTGAGAATACAGCTCCTCCTGACCAAGTTCAGATTTTATCTGGAGGGGACCGGGATATTTATCCACCAGCTCCCTTCAGTCACCCATACAGGCTGCCCCTGACCTGCGGTGTGCAGTTCATAAGCAGTGAGTTCACGCCAAGAGAAACTCCAGGCAAAAAAAAGGCAGGGGTTTCTTTCCTGGAAGGTTAGGCTAGAGTGCAGGGACACAGCGGGTGGGAGCATGGGACATCTCCAACAGAATCGATTGCAGGGAAGTGTTAATGGTGTGAGTGCTAATCTAAAGGAAGCCAAGAGCAGGGAGGAATGTGGCAATGTGTGAATGTAGGTGAAGGCAGAGAGCCCCTTGGATGTTCAGACACCAAGGGCCAGTCAAGGGAGTCAGCAACAGCACCTGCCAGTCCTGGGGTCTATGGGGAGTGTCCACATAGCAAGTGGAATCTGTTTTGGAAGCAGTCTTAAAACAAAAATTCAGTGAGGGACATTTTTCTTCCAGGAGATACAGGCATTGTATTCACCTACCAACAGGGAAACCATTGACTAAATTTTATTTTTTTCATTTGTATAGAGTGTTCAGTATGACGGGTATGTTCTAAAATGCTTTCCAAGTACTGTTTCATTTTCTTCAACAATAGCTCACACACATTTGACAGAGCAGAAAATGGAGGCAGTGTTAGGTTAAATAACTTGGCCTTGGACCCTGTGCAAAGATGTTCCCATCTCCTGGTCTCAGTTCTATGATCTTTGCCTCATGCCTCTTCCTGCCCTGGGTGGCTGAGCTATGCAGATTCTATCAACAAGCTCTTCGAGTTCCGGTTGTGTTGCACTAACAGGAGATAGGCTATAAGCCAGACAGAAGGTGACGTCAGGCCATTTACATCTCTCCCCTCCCTGATTGGGACAGGTCGGTTGGTCCCTTTGAGTACCAAACACTCTGTGGGCTCTGATCACCACTCCCTGTCCTGATCCTCTCAGGCCAAGAAGCAGTAAGAGCTCTTCACTATTGCCCATGGAGGGGTCAGGAGACTGATGTCTTATTTTCCAATCATGGTGGCTAAGTCATGGCTGAATGAAGCATGAGTTCTTGAGTTTGTCATCTCTCCTGCTTTCCCTCACCAGGCTGTGAAAGTGAGCTTCCTGTCTGCTGGTTTACTCCCTGATGCCCACCATGGCTGGAACTGGGTGGTGACAGAAGCCAACAGTTCAGTCCAGGTCTCCCATCGCCTCTGTGTCCCTGAGTCAGCGTTAGCAAAAAGCTGGAGTCAGGAGCTGGAGCTGGACGCTGGCACACGGATACAGGGTGCAAGCATCTTAACTAGCAGGTGAAATGCCTACTTCTCAGTTTAATTATAGCTCCCCCCACTCCACGCGTGCCTTTTTTCAGTCCTTTCTTATTAGCCTTTGCTTTTATTTCAAGCTGTTCTACCTAGATCCTTGCCTGACTTTAGTGGACAATTAAAAATTATCTGCTTGCCAAGTTAGCTCCTCAATAGCTTGGCTTAGGGGGGGAAAAAGGACACAGGACAAGCCAGATTGTGTCTGAGGAGGCGGGGAGATGTCTACAAAAGAATTTTTAAGTGGTACAAAGAAATGTTGCCAAAGGCATTATGCCATCAAATAACAGAACATATCAAAGGTTTATGGACAATTCTTGAAAAGAAGGTGTATGGTATTGAGAAAATTCCTTTTTTTTTTCCTTTCCTCTGTTATAGAGCTGATTTTTAAGTTTCCTTTTTTTTAAGTTTTAATTGATTGAAAAGGCTGAGTCATGGGAAGGGAACCATGAGACCAAGTGACAGAATAGAAGCCATCTGCTGGTTGGCTTCCTCAACGGCCACATCAGCTCAGGGTGGATCAGGCCAAAGCCAGCAGCCAGGAGCCCCAACTGAGTCTTGCATATAGGGGAGGCAGGGACCCAAGTACTCGATCCATCACCTGCTGCTTCCCAGGAGTTGGATCAGAAGCAGAGTAGCTGGGACTCAGACTGGCACTGCAGTATAACATGTCGGCATCCCAAGGACCAACTTAACTCACTGCACAATGCCTACCCAGAGAACTTGTTTTACTGAGCACAGCTGGTGAGGGATGACTGAGAACAGAGGAGCTCAGGCCCCTGCTGTGGACTGAATGTGTGCTGAGGGAGGAGAGTGGTCCCATCTGCTCCTTGCTGGGGAGGCTGTGTGCTGAGCTGGGTGGCCGCAGCCATGCTGTGTGGCCCAGTGTGTGTGTGTGGGGGGGGGGAGCCAGCGGCACTGCCTTCTCTTGCTTGGAGTACATTAACGCACAAGAAATTTGTGAGGAGAATGGGCCCCAGAAGAGGAAAATGAAGCATTTACATGGATCCAAGGATGGCATTGCAAAGGCGAAAGGAATCCCCAAAGCGCTAAATCAATATTTGGATATTAAAAGAAAAAGAAAAACATCTTACCAACTTCAAAGAGTTTGGTGGCATTAAACTCCTCGCTTCCCGCAAGCAGGCTCACTTCAGTGGCTGCTGTCCTCAAAGTGTCTTCAATTCCTGAACACAGACAAGAACTCACTTTTTCCCCAGTTCTATGGAAACAGTTACCCCTCTCCCCAAATAAAAAACAAACACACGTGAACAAAGCCTGCTTTGTATCCATTGCTACTCCTGGGCAGTAACTTGCCAACAGGGCGAACGGTAAAAAGCAGGTAGCAGCGCGTAAAATATATTAAAACCCCAGATACAATTTGCAGCATGAAATCAGATCCAAATGTGCCCAGCTGACTCCCAGGGTCTCACCCAGGAGGGGGCCAGGGATGGGATGTAAGGCAGTGAGCAACTTATATCGGAAGGGCCATCTGGGGGAGCGAGGGTAACAAGCTCAAGCAGAGGCAGTGGAGTGTAGTGGTTAATGGCATGTCTCTGGAGACTGCCGGCCTGGGATCACATCATTGCTAGCCAAGTGATCTCCAGCAAGGCAGTCCACTGCCGAGGGCCTCAGTCTTCCCATCTGTGAAATGAGGCAGAACTCAATGCTCTACCCCAGGGGGTTGAGAGAATTCAGTGTGATTATGTAAAGAAAGAGCAGTAGCTGGTCAAAGTTGGCAGTGCTTTTCAAGCTTTGTGGAGCTCGTTTTGAAGATGCAGCGTTTTGTAGTCAAAGATCAGACATCACGTGTTTCAGAACAGCAAGCATGGTATATGGTGCTTTTCAGAGAGCATGCTGGGATTCTCATCACTTGTTGTAAAGTATTGAGTCCTTCCTTGTTCAGATTTCCTGCTGTAAACTGTGACCCCTAACCAGGCTCCCTTAACAGTGCAAGCTAAAGCAGTAGAGGGAGTACGGGAAGACTTGGAAACATTGGTTGGTGAGCCCTTGTTTCCCTGCTGGGCATGGCTGGGTGTAACTTTATGTGAGACCCCCCTTAAGCTCCCCAGTGGAGGATAGGAGGAGATGCTGGGAAGGCGGAGAGAGGAGACGGGCTTTCACACTGCAGTCACTGCCAGGCCAGCGAGATCTTGTCTGCCCTGTAAGTCCATCCAGTATGACTGAGAATCTGCAAACCAAATGAGTGAAGAGATTGCACCAAAAAGGAAATGCCTCATGTTCCAATGGAATCTAGAAAGCTGGAAAAGCCAGAAGCTGTAGAACAGATAGAAGGGAGGGAAGGCCGGGGGAGGAGAGAACATCTGAACAGGGATGTTGACCACACCGTTCTCAGCGGTGACAGGAGATAAGGAGGGATATTTAGAGTGGTGGCAGAGAACAGTCCCCCTGCCGCCCCACTACCCCGATGGACTAGCCATACCCACCATGCTGAATCTAAATGCCAGTTCTTGAAGACAGCATCGTGGCAAGCCCCTAAGCCCTGGCAGCAGTGCTGACTCTAACCAGGTGTGGCTCAGCCCCCACCTTTATCCCAGCAGAGGTCAAGAGCTTAATGATTGAAAACATAAACTGTAGAGTTCTGATCCCATATCAGTTACTTCCTCCTGATCCACTGTGTTAGTTCCCATATACATCAGATGGGTACAGTAATAAGTATCTGGTCATTTCATTTGGCTATTGTGAGGACTAAATGATAGGACATACATCCAGCTTAGGAATGTACTTGTTAGGTACTCAAAATATCTTATTCATTGTCCTTTCTATTTTTGATCTTCATTTTCTTTCTCTTCATGTTCTCCTTTTCATCCCCATCATCTTTGTATTCTCCTTCTCTTCTTTCTTCTTTTTCTTCCTGTCTTCTTACCCCTCCTCCTATTCTCACGGTTAATGTCTACCCATTCACATTCCACCCCTGAGACCTGCAGCTCGGCCCGTTCTGATGTGCAAGGAAGAGGTCACAGGGAGTATCTTCACGGCTGAGCCACTTCCTTGCGCTCCACCAGTGTGGCCGATGCAGAACCCGAGCCACTGCGCACATTTCAGCCCCGTTCGCCAGCAGACACATTCATTCCAACCTGATCCTTCCTCTCTCTCTCTGATCCTCCATCTCCCTCTCCACTTCTTTTCTTGTTCCAGATAGCTCTAGTTTGCAAACAGCTTGTCTGCAGGTAGAAAGAGGAAGTGTGCCGTATGGAGCTCATATATACGTATTTTTGTTTGTTTCTGATACTTTTAGATGAAACCATCTGGAATGTATGTTATCTGGAAAGGGCTAATGATATTAGTGTTCTAACTGGCAGTGGGGGCTACAGAGTGAAACTATAAACAAGGAGTTGGTAAAGAGTATGTGTGTGCGTGTGTGTGGTTTTATAAAGGGCCTTAGAATTTTAGACCTTGTGGGTCATAGATGGTCTTTGATTGTTCCTTGTTAATCCTTCCTCTCTGCTTTCTCCTTCACCTGCTTTCCTCCTCCACATCTTCCTTCTGCTTTTCAGAACCCTTAAAAAAATGTATGGGTCCTGCACAAACAGGTCCTAGACTGGACTGGGGCCATTGACCATAGTTTGAAAAACTCCGCTGTAATCCTTCACCAAATGGTATCTCGCCAAGTCTGCAATTCATTTTAGTTTTGAAGCACTCACCACAGACTATAGTAATTAAGTGCTAAGCTGTCCCAGTTTGTTGTCCCTGGAATCCTCCGTTACTTTCAGATGTCACCAGCAGGACTAACTGTGGTTTTTTTCCAGATGGCGATTAAACCTCTGTCCTGGCATCCTTATCAGACTCTGACTGTTTATCTTCTTGTGTCTCTTTGACGCACACACACAAAATCCCACATCAAAGGCCCACACAAATCAGAGTCCCTCTTTTAAATTAAAAAAAAAAAATACAATGTAGTATTGTCCCTTAGGTCACGGTTACTGCAACTGTGTATCAAACAGAAAATCCAACTTTTCATCCATTAAGTTCATTAATTTATCTTCTCTTACTCTGCTCAGAAGTCTTAGGGTAATGGTCATCTTTAAAACTGTAATTACAGGTTTTCAATGTAAATTGAAGAAAAAAAATCAAAACAAAAACAACTCTGCCTTGAACTTGACACCAGCACACACACTTACCTGGGCAGTTGGGACGGTCACAGGTCCTAGATTCCGTTGCAGTGCATGCGTAGCCGCAAGATCGGGTCCGTTTCTGGTTGCCGTTCCCACAGGTGACGCTGCAGACAGACCAGAGACTCCAGTCACCCTCACCATCCGTGGAATCTGGAAGAGAGAGCCAGGGTGATGGTCATCCATATCAGCAGAGTCCCCAGAAACCCTCTTGTCAGGCAGCCCTCAGGTGGCCTGCCTCATGCATTTTTCCCACTGTTGGAGGGGTGTGGAGGCCAGTGAGGGTTAAAAGACCTCCCACTCGGTAGGGGGGGGAGTGATTTAGGGCTCAGCTTGGTGAAGCCAGAGACGTTTGGGACTTCTCTGGTCAGGAGTGCATGTCCAGGGCCTGACTCCTTAAGAGATGCCCAGGGGATGTTGATTGAGAGCAGTGCATTGCAGCGCATGAGCTCATGGGGTAACCATGCCTGGCAGCTTGCCAGTATTATCACCCTTATTCCTTCCTTCCCTGTGTTCTCAGCTACCCAATTATGAGGTGACCTATAGAAAGAGGAGATCCACGTGGCAGACCCTAAGATGCTGGGCATGAGAGAAAAGCCTTTGTGAAGCCCTCAGCCCTTCTCAGCGGGCAGCTGATGACCCAGTAGTGGTGGTGAGTCTGGTGACCCCGCCCAGGCTCCTGAACCCCAGAAATCATGAGAAAACAATAAGCTGCTCTTGCTGGGATGGGTTGATGCACTGCAGTACTCCACGATGATTGACTTAGGCATGATACGGCTAGCTCCTTCAGGTCATTGCTCAAAAGCCACACAGTGAGTGATGGGCCCTCTTACTGTCTGCCAGGCTGCAGCTCAGGGTATGTGTGATACATGATTAAGTAAAGCTTTTGCAGATCCCTGTCCTGGTGACAAGAGAGCCAGTAATGAATGAGCACAAAAATGAGTAACTTACACAGTATATTAGAAGTTGGTCAATGGTATAGAAAAAGGACGAGTAGAATAGGCTGGCTGGGTGGGAGGCTTGGAGTGTGAAGGGCCGGAGGAGACCGGCACCTTGCTAAGTCTGATTTTGCTTCATCAGAAGCAGAGTCCTGGGGTGACTGGCTGACTTGTCCAAGGTTGTGCCATCCACAGACAAACAAGCCTGGCTCTAGCCCCTTATAGCTCTTCTGGCAGTACCTGCCTGTGGTCCTTCCTCCTTTCTCGCAGGTAGTGCGAACCTTCCCATGGCCGCACAGCCTCTGCTGGTGCCCAGTATAGAGCTGCAGGCATGTGCCCTGCGGGGAAGGGGTGCCCTGTGTTTCCATCAGCTCGTGGGGATCGTTATTACATAGGCCCCACAAGAATGCTGTGCACACATGTTTCTACCTGAACTCTAGGCCTCATGCCAGCCTGGGCTGTTGTTGATATGGTTTCACGCTGCACACTCCTCGTGCAAACCCAGGGTCACTCAGCCTCATCAGTCCATTAAGCACAATCTGAGTGCTGGTTGTGGGGCTTTGTGGTGGGGTCCTGTTCCCTAACTCTGAGCGGACGGTTTGCTCACACTTCACACACCCCCAGGGCTCCCTTCCATTTTTTCTTTTTCTCCTCCCCACGCAAGGATTTTTCCAAACTTAGATTCTCTTGTAAGGCTCGGTTTTCCAAACACAGTGCCAAGCAGATGCTTGAAACTACTGGTTCTTGTTAGGGGACTGGCCCCCTTCTCCAGCATAAGACTCCTGCCTTTCTTCCATCTCTTAGTGGGCAGCAACACTGTACACTAGAGAGGTAGGGCCAGTTGCTGATCTGTCCGAGGCACCTCTGCACTGGGCATCTCTTGGCTAATCCACCTGCGATACCAGAGATGCACCTGGGACAGTCACACAACTCTGTACTTGTTGGGAGAGCAGCCTGGCACGGCGGGTTACATGGCCCACGTGAACACTCAGTCACATCCTACGTATACCGCCCAGGCCAGATTCTGTTAAAGGAAAATAAAATCAGTTCCAAGTACAGATTATAGTGTATTTGACACTCATCAAAAAGAGGAAAGGGGTAAGTTCAGAAAAGCTTACTAAATCACAAGGGTGCAGTTCATATCACACTGGTAGACTCCAGTGTAAATACAATGATGCCAAGTGGGGTCCTGCTTGGCTCTGCAAGAGCCAGGGAACTTCAACCCTCTAGAAATCCTCTCCCTTATGTCATTGTGGAGATCAAGCTGGGAAAACATCATCCTACGTCACCAAGAGGCTGATACTAGAACCTTTGTCAGGTTAATTTCTGGTGTTGGTTTCTCGGATCTAAAATGATTAAATGTTAAGGCTCAGTCCAAATGTGTATTAATGATGTCCACAATTATTCTTACCCAAATTCACCTCTTAGGTTCCTCCCTTCTCACACTGATCTCAGGACAGTCCACATGACCGACTTTGGCCAATAGGGTAACAGCCAATACGATGCCAGCAGAGGTTTGACAAAGTGCTCATTTCTTGGAGCTTACTCTGCAGCTACTGGGATCTCTTCCAGAAGCAGGTGGAAAGGCAGCAGAGAGGGAGGACCAGGTGGTTATGTCGGTACCCTGTGTCATTGGAGCCCCGGCCTTGCAAGTGAGGCCACACGGTGCCCTTCAGTCCCACCTACTCAGACAAGCCAGAACAGCCCAGACAGCCACGGACTCCTCAGAGAAACTGTTGTTTTTTTAGGCTACTGTGTTTTAGGAGTGGTTTATCAAGCGTCAAATGTTTTTTTCAGATACATCGTAATACCCTCCCTGCTCTGTAGGGCTTCAGACTTTAGAGCCATCAGAAATGTGTTATCCCACCAAGTGACTTTCTTCATGTTTAACAGAGCTCACGAAGCCATGTTGCTTCCAGGTTTATTTAAATATATATACGTAAACCTGAGTTACGTACACAGCTCTGCACAGCCCTGTGGCCAATCCTGCCTACTGATGCTAGCAAGGAGATGAAACAGTGTCCTAGGAAGAGCACACGGGGTCAGCCTGATGCCGCCACAGCCTCCGGTGGCACAGACACTCCTGTTGAACACTTGGGTTTGCTTCATGGGCTCAGGGGACAGGACAGAAATGGAACTTTTGACTGGGACAAAACATTGAGGGCAGGAGGTTTTTTCTGCGGGAATAAAGAACCTGGTGTCTTTTGCTCACCTGCTTGGGAGTATTGTGTAGAGCCAAATATGAATGGGAGCAACAACAGTCACTAAGGTGACACAGTGAGAGAGAGCGCTGCTGTGTTGTCAACGCTCCTGTCTGTGATACCAAAGAGCTCAAGGCGAGAAGCGAACACACCAGAGCAAGGGGCTGAGAGCTGCGTGCCCAGGAGGCCACCCAGAGTTTAAACACAACTTTTCCTGATGCAGGGCACCAGCGATGGCGAACCACTCAGAGTATCAAGACAATTGCAGTGATCTAGAGCTTGATTCGGCCACTGGCTAACCTGTCCCACTAATCCTACAAGCTGGTAGCTGCCAGTGATTGAAGTCTTGCTTTAAAGAACTTCTCTTTCAAGGCACTGATTTAATTCCTACAGTAACCCTGACAAGGCAAGGAGAAATCTCCTCCTGAATGGATAAGGCAGCTGAAATTCAGAGAGTGTGAGGCCTTTGCCTCTTGTCACAGCATCCACCTTCAGCCAAGGCAGGACTAGATCTGAGCTCTGCCTGTGCCCACCACACCCTGTTCTGCATCCTGGTGCTTCAGCAAATGTAATTCTGACCTACGTTTCCCTCCTCCATTTCTAAATAGACTTAATTTGTCCAGCTTCTGTGGGCAAAAATACAACAGCACAAAGAAGAATTCCTGAAAACTAATGACTGAAATCTTCCATGATCAGAAGAAAGATTTCAAAGACCCGAGTCGTAACCCAGATACCTTTAAGTGGCGCCCTGGCCTCATTTCATTATGCGGGCTGTTCTGAGAGATTTGGGGAAAATGATCTATTACCGTCGGAATGAATTTGGACTCGGTTTTGCCCTGAATTCCTGAAGGATTTTCATACAAAGTATTTCAAATGCAGCACTTCAAGGATGGCTGTTTCACTTGGTAGTTTACACACTGGCTAGGCCCTCTACATCCTGTATTGGAGTATCTGGGTTCAGTTCCTAATTTCCCGCTTCCTGCTAATGTGTACTTCTGGAAGCAGTGGATGATGTAATTGACTCCTTGCCACCATTTAAGAGATGTGGATGTGGTGTTCCGCTTCGGGCTTTGGCCTGACCCAGTGCTGCCCACTGCTGCATTTGGAGGGTAAACTAATGGAAGGGAGTGCTGTCTGACTTACTCACTCTCATACAAATAAATGCTTTAAAAATAGTCCACAGTATTAGCAGTGGTTCAAGTCCTGGCTGCTCTACTTCTGACCCACCTGTGTGTTGATGCATCCAAGGAGGTTGGCCCTGCAATCATGGGAAACTTAGATGAAGCAACTGGTTTTGGCTTGGCCTCTCCATGGCCATTTGGGGACTCAGTCAGCAAATGGAAGATTCACTTTGTCTATCCCTCTCTCTCTCTGCAACTCTGTTTTTCAAATAAATACAATGGTTTTTTAAAAAAATATTCTATAATGTCTCCATATATCATTTTCACAGTTGAGCTGACTCATGACATCATCATAGTATGTTTCCATCATTACAAATCAGGTCTGTCTTCCGAAGGTGTCATATAACCCATTCCGTAGATGGCATTTACCTCATCTTGGACCTTTAAAAATATTCTCTTCCCAACGAACACTTACATTTTCAAAAATCTGAGCTTTATATCCTCCACAAAGACCAGCTCTTGGGGGCAGTTTCAGCTCATCTTGGGCAATGCAGCAAGTCATGAGAGTCCATTGAATCTTCCATTCCTTGTAATGTGTTGCCACTGCACAGACCTCAGCATCTTTGTGGTATGTACTTTCCCTGTGTCCTGCATGGCTCCCAGCATGGAGACAGACACTAGCAATCGCTCAAAAGCTTCTTGCTGATTAGAGTAAAAAAAATAAAGGGAGCTCTGAGCTCAGCTGATGCTGTGTGGAGTGCTAGAAGCTACACGTTCCTTGCAGAGTATTCCTAGCACCAGCAATCATTCATTTGGTCTGCAGGTGCTGTCAAGGGTTCACAGTGTGGTCTGAGGGCTGGCGGTGACAGCATCAGTTATGCTCTTGCCCCCTTCTCTATGCTTAGAGCATCAGCAGTTGTATTTTTCTGGGGTTGCTTGTACAGACGTTGAAATCTGGTAAGCACTGTTTTCTTTTCCTTTAAGTATTAAAAGGGAAAAGATTTTATTTATAAGTAGCAATCCTGAAATGCAGCCTAATGTTAGCAAAGTTGCCAAGGGATCATCTAAAATCTTAGAAGATGGAGGTTCTCCTGCAGTGATCTTGCTGAGTCCCCTTTATCTAGGAAACTGGGGTAAGCATGGCTGAGGCAGCTTCAGTAAGTGCCCCAGGAGGAGCAAACTTTATGCTCAAGATTACAGTAGAGAGGCTGGCCTTCATGTTCACGAATTGAGCAGGGTGCACTCTGGAAAAGCTTTAGACTGATGAAGTTGATTCTAGCAGTGGTTATTCAAACTTTAGTAAGCATGAGAAATTACCTGATGACCTTGGCTGGAAAAAAGAAAGGTAAAAGCAAACACAGATGGGTTCTAGTTCTCATCCCCAACCCTCTGATTGAGTAGATGAAGGGCAATGGCCTTCAGCTTGGACTGTGCACTGGATCACACACGGAACCTTTAATGTTCTTGGGTACTTGGACTGCTGTTCCCCACACCTTCCCCTTAACATGCATCCAAAGGATTGTCATGCCACACTCTGCGTCCTGCTGTCAGACACAGTGTTCTCTGTGTGCTGGAAAAACAGGGCACAAACCCTGTGCCCTCAGATGGGCATTCATGGGTTTTCTGTGTTTCTTTGTTCAACAGCACTGATCTTCTCCTCTCGTTCCTATCTTCCTATCTAAGCTTCCATTTCTAGGTATGCTCTGTTTCTGTAAGGGACAGACTCCTGCTGCCTGGAATGAATCCCAGGCTTTGATCCTCTAAGCCAAATTGCTCAAGTTCTCCAGGCATTAGTTTTTGCATCTATGAAATGGGATGTCTGCCTCAGATAGCTGAGTAAATGAGCTAACTTCTGTACCATTCATAGAGTGAGGTGTGCATGTCACACACCATATAAATATTAGCCGTTCTCTCCATTCCCCCCTCCTGGAGGGTTGGTTATTTGGACTGCCTCTAGGAGGGGTGATGTTTTCAAGAACCTCCCGCAAGGGGCACGGAGCCCTCTTTCTGCTCCTCTAATCTTTGGTGTATATCTCTACCATGACAGAATTTCTCATATCTTCATCTTGCTGCACACACAGGGTGATCCTTTGCAGGGAAGGACCTCGTCTTGTTAATTTTTGGATTCCCAGCATTTAACATAGAGCTGGACTCAGATATGCTCTTAATAAATGTTGGGTTAGCCATGATTATGTGATTAGAAAAAAAAACTGTCCACTGTTTTGGAAGTTGTCTACATTCCTCATCTTTCATGGGTTAGAGGGAAATGACTACAATATATAACTAGTCTTTCTGTAGAAGAGTAGGAGTAAGTATGAAAGTGCCAGTCATGCTCATTTTAACAAATATTGTACAAAAACTTCATGGAACTGGAATTAAAAGGGAAGTTACAAGAATTTCAAGAATTTGTATGTATTGGGGTATTCAGAAAATTTATGGAAAGTGTGTCATAAAATAAACTAAATATATAGATTTTAAACTTAATTTTAAATTTCATTGTTTCCGTGAGTTTTCTGAGTAGCTTCACTACTCAAGTACACTCCTAAGCACTTTAACCCACAACAAATATGTATACAGTTTACTTACAAGCATACTGATCTTGGACCCATGAGAATGTGAGGATGCTGGGTACATTTGTAAGATGCAGGTGTTCTTCTAGTACACTGTCCAATTCCCTATTCATACTGGCCAGATGCTTACAAAAATTATTTTCACTCTTCTCCTGCTTTTCTTTGGACACGCTGAATCCATTTCTCAGTATCCTCTGCATCTGCCTGTGTGGGACCAAGTGACCAGGTCTTGCCAATAGAATTAGAGTGAATGTGATACTATGTTGCTTTCAGGCTGAGGGAGTGAAGAGTTTCCAAGATTCCCTCTCTTCCTGTGTTTCCCAGATGGCTGTAGAGTATCATGGGGAATAACATGCAGACCCAACTGGTGGATGTCCATTGTGGAAGCAGGCGGGATCCCTGTCTGCCGAAATGGAGCTGAGTTCCCCTCACCCTGTCTCTCTTCCTAACTCTAATGAAAAACAAACTTTTGTTATTTTAAGTCACTGGCTTGGGATTATGTTACATCACCTACCCTAATCTAAAAACAAGAAATTAAATGTCTTGGGATCTTGAAATTTATTGTGCATTCTTGATAACCTGTGATACACATGCTCATGTGGATTCTCAAGAGACAACATCAAACAAAACATCATTGTTAAAAAAAAAATCTGTTTATATCTCATTTACTAAGTCAGTTTTCAATGCGAACTCCCATAGTGAAAAATGCAAGAAATTAATTGGATGATTTCTTCATTTTTAGAAATAAGTCTAAAATTTGGCAGGGATAAAGGCAGAAAGAATCCCAAAGACCTTAAAAAGTTCCCTCCTAGGATAATAGTGTGATTTCAAAATTATAGTCTTTCCAGAAAAATGTGGCTGCTGGTGCCTCCCTGGGGTTTCTGTGGGGGAGATCCCTTATGAGGTATGCCTCGTGGAAGACCAAAAGCCACACACTCTCAGCTGGGATTTGCTTGGCTCCATGTCCCTTAGACCTCATCATCCTCATTTACTCTCCCCACCAATTTTATATTACTGGGTGGTAAACTCACCATATTCTGGCTGCTCTTTGGTTTCAAAAGTCCGGTGGCCTGGGGCCGGACGGTCCCACCCTCTGGGGGGGTTGAGGAAGTTGCTGTCGTCTGAGGTACTGTCGTACTTGTAGTCCTGGTCCCCGCTGTTTGCCCTCGCCAAGGACAAGGACCTCTGCCACCAGGCCCGCCAGTCGGGGGATGGGACTGACCAGCTGGGCTTAGTCTCCGGCTGCTGGTCTTTATCTGCTTCGGAGTCTGGACCGTCGACCACCTCTATGGTGACCTGGGGAATTCAGAACAGGCCAGGGTCAAGGTGGAGTCCACAGCCTCCAAGCTATGGCGACCCTTGGAAGAAAGTCTGAGAGAGCCAAGATAGACAATGGCCAAATCCCTCATGAAGGAAAGCTGGGGTTGCTTAGAGAATGGCAAACATCCAGGGACAGTTCACAGGATTTTACAGCTGGGCTTAGGTTGGGAGGAGACCACTATGGTCCCTGATTTCCTACTAACTAAATTGTTGAGAAGCTTTCCCAGGGGATATACATATACCCCATGTGGCCCTGAAGTGGTACAAGAATAATCCTCAGAATAACCAACACTGACTGCACACTGACTGAACTGATTCTCAGGCACTGTTCCAAATACACTGCTTACAGAGTATATAACCTCACACACCTCCATCATCCTAGGATTGACTATATCCAGTAGAATGGCACAGGTCTGAAAAGGTCTTGCAGCTTCTGTTTTCACTATCTTGGGTGGAAGTCTAACCTAGCCTGCTGCTGTGCTCATAGAGGCCATGTAAAGACTGAGAACCTGGACACCCAAACGAATATCCTGCTGTGAGGCTCCTGTCATGTGAATGGGGCCACTGCACAACCTTCAGCCCCAACTGGGTAACCCGTGATTGTACCGCAGGGAACAGGGGGTAAGCTCTCCCTTCTGAGTGCTGCTCAACTTCCCAACACATGTGACCCTATGCGATTCAGTGGTCATTGACATAAGCAATTTCAGTCTTGGAGCGGTTGCTGAACACCAACAGACAAGGAAAACTAACCCAAGAGACTTTCATCACTTGCCTAAGGTCGCAAAGCTAGTAAGCAGCAGATGTGGGAGTGTGGCCCCTGAGTAAGTGGTAGAGGTACCGTCCCTGCACAGAACCATGCGAGCCAAGAGGGCAGAGCTGCTGGTGAGGGCTCTAGCCACGGGAAGCACAGAGACATGAGTGAAAGAATGTCGTGACCAGGGCTCCCAGTTAGGATCTTCATCCCTCTCGTATGCCAGGTGTAGCCTACGCACTTCTCAATTGACCTGGAGGGTCAGAGCCAGCGTGCTGGAAGCAAGACTTATTGCCTGTGGTGGGATGGATGGAGACTACTTTTGAAGTCTATCATGGAAGAATGCAGTTTCTTGGCTCCAAAAGACAATCAACACAGAGAAACTTGTTTAAAAATATAATAAAAGACTCATTGGGTTCTTTTGGCCATCACATAGCTCTTGCAACACCCCCTGGATGAGTTATGTGCAAATGAATCAGAAACATGCGTTCCAAGTAATCAGCGCAAGATGTCCTGGGCAGATGAATTTTTTGCCCTAGCCTGACATTTGGGAGGGTTACTGAGATGATCTGCCAGATTGCACTGGGCTGTGCCCATCCCTGAGAGGCAGAGCCCCTTCCTTTTGTGGTAGGAAAGAGGGAATTTGAATTGTGCTCATTTTGCCATCCGAAGGAAGCTTCTTAGTCAATGGTGGGCCTGTGCTGTGGCTCTCTGAGGTCTGGCCACACAGCCAAGAGGGTGGTCTCTGATCTTAGCGCCCACTCAGGCTGTAACAGCTGAAGTGCATCTATAAGGATGCTGATAAGGGTACCACTAGCTTTGTCTCATGCTGCCACCATCACCTCATTCTTGTAGGCATCTCTTGTAAATGTACTAGTAATTGTCAGCCTGAATAAAGGTTAACTGGGAACCACATGGAAGTCTGCAAGCACAAGTGAGGGAATGCACAACTAGGTCACGACAGGACGACGCTGAGCCTTTGAAAGCCTAACTTTTCTCCTCTGTGGCCCCATCTGCCTGTATCTAAAGACAGAATAACTGAGCCACAACACTCTACAAGGCTGTTAAGGGTCTTGGGAGGAAGAGGCTGCCAAAAGCCTGGCAGACCTGCAATTATGGTAATGAAATCAGTCCCTGGGTAGGAGATAAGGAGGAATGTGCCCAACAGTTTGGGTATTCCATTTGTATTCAGACTGGAGTCAAAAGGGTTGCTTAAACAAAATGTGCCCTGCAATTTCTCCAGGCTGGGAATAAAAACAATTTCATGTTTCAAGCTATTACCGTCAATACGATGCTTTTTTTTTTTCTTCTTCCCCAAATTGCTACTCAGATCCAAACAAAATAGATCCATTGCCTGGCAAGGCAATGAGTAGCAAAATATGATTTTACTCCAAAAACTATATCAATGACTAATCTCAACAGCTTAGAGGCTTTTTCCCCCTCCTCCCTTTAATTTCTAGTCACTGCTTCAAAAAGAATTATAAAACAAAACAAAAAAACCCAAACCTTATGTCCCACCCTTCCCAACTGTTAACTATGTGGAAACCCCATACGCACGTTAAAAGCAGGACTCCAATCTGAAATTTCATTGGTATCTACTTAAAAACTTTAATGGACATCATCATCAGATGGTGCGGGTTAGTTTTATCCTTCCTATTGCTCTCGCTCTATTCACATGTGTTTTAACACCTGTGATTCCTTTTGTAATGATGTCTTCCACAGTGACCTGTGTCATGGGTTGTAGGCGAGAGCAAGCCCAGCAGATTTCAAAGCTGACCAGGCATCTCTCTGTCCCTTCTCATCCTTCATTGTGAAGGCAATGTGAATGACCTCATGGATTTACTTCGGCACTTCTTCATCCCGCAACTCAAAATAACAAATGAAAAGGAGGAACTCTCTCGAAAGTTCCAAGTCCAACTTGGGCAGCATTTCCCCAATTCCAAGTAAAGCAGTCTAAGACAAGGTGCTAATTTGGAGAATTTTGTCCAAAATTGAGATATCAGGACAAGATGCAATGTACCCCGACTAGCTTTCCTTCTCCTGAGAGATAACACTGTCGTTAGAAACACTCTCTTGTTCTACAAAGCACTCCCCAGAGAGAAACCACGGCAGTGCCCATTGTGATAAGAAGCCCAACCTCAGCGGAGATGAGGGCCCTGGGGAGCCATCGCAGACCCCAGGAGGTCTTCTACCCTTGGGCTCTTAAAGCTTGCAGGCTGTGGCGAGCAGGTGGACAGGGGCTGCTTTTTCCACAGTGGAAAGCAATTTTCTTAGGATCACCAAGCACCAAGGGACATAGCTCTAGCAAAAGTTTGGAGTGGAGGTCATGATGGCCTTCTGTCCTTGTCACTCAGCATAGAAAGAACCCTCAAGTGACGAGGGAATATTGAATTCCTGCCTCTCAGGCCCATTTATATACCGGAAATGGGCCGGCCACCTCTGCTAAGCTGTCTGATTTGCAGCATGCTTAGCCACACCTGATTGTCCATTCTACCCAATGCAGACCTAATTTTAAGGCACGGAAATTGGCTGGGAATTCATATAACCAAAGCAAACAGCAAAAGAAAAGGTAAAGTAGGTCCCCAAAGCAGCTCTGCTGATTCCAGGTTATTTCCCTCTGTCATTGTCATCTGCATTAAAATCAGCGCCCAGCATCTATCAGTTAGGGCCCTGTACTGTAGTAAAGGAAACCAAGGCAAAGAGAGGTCAAGAAAGGTGCATGAGGCTGCAGAGCCCAGGTTTGGTTGACTAAGTAGTGGTGCCAGATTCCAAACACGGGTCCCTCTGATCCCACCATTCAAGCCACAGACAGCTGCACTCTATGAGAACCCGAGCAGTCTAGGAGTGTGCAGGTCCATGTGCCTGGCGCAAATATTTCTTGGTTCTTACCTAACCAGACCCAACATTCCCCCAAAACAGTAAAGAACAAAAGGAGGAGGTGGCATCTGAGGAGGTCGAAGCTCGCACTGCAGTGCTGCACAGCTCAGCTGCGGGTGTCCCAGGAGGCCCATAGCCGCGGCAACAAGTGGGTGCAGGAGGGGGCGGGGGGTGGAAGGCCTTTCCATGACTGTTGCTACGTCCCTCAGAGAGGACAGAAGTGTACTGGCCAAAATGAATCCTAGCTTCAGCTTGATCCAAAAAGGATCTACTGTGGCTGTCCCATTCTCATCTTAACATGTCATGTCTTCTCCTTTGTCACACTTTTGTACTTTCCACATCTGGAGACTGTCACACTCCATGACGCTGAAGAAGGCAGGCAGAATAGCTCTAAATTGTCCCTTACTTCCCATCAACTAAAAATGCAGCTCATGGATGTACTCGTGGATGTGCAGTGAACTCACGATTCCGTCACATGAGCTGGAGAGAGCTATGACGTCATCATCCTCCCTCCATCCCTTCCTCTCTGCTTTCTGTATTGTCCTCTGTAGTCTCCTCTGAATGTAACCTTAGATTCCCAGCTCTGGGGACACCAACTGTCTTTGCACCATGGTTTTCCCCTACCATTTAGGTCCATGTTGATCTGGGTAGGAGATGGACAATTCCAGACAGAAGGGATTATCTGGAAGTGAGGAAGGGGGTTTTGAAAGTTCTGCCTGAAACTTGATTCCCTGGGAGAATGCAAGTATCTACTAACTTTCCAACAATGGAACATTCACCTTGCAACTTTCCACATCCCTGACATCTAGACATCTCCTTGTACCTTTACATTGGTAATTCTTAAGTCTATTACACTAATTGCTTATGCTTCAGCACCAAGCCCCACAATTTTATTTCCTGCCCCTGGGGAAAAACTGCTAGACGTGGTGAAATTAAGTTTGGGGCATGACATCAGCACGCTTGAGGTGAGGGCTGTCTGATCCTGCAACCACAAAATCTGTAATCAATGAAGAATTACTTCCTATGGATGCAGCTGTGATAGGCAGCAATGGTGAGCAATGCTGTGGAGCTGTCTGCACCTCCTCCCTGCGATGAGTGACTTGCTGTTGGAGAGCGATGCACCTGGTCCCAGAGAGCAAATATCGGAGGAATAGCCCCTTTCCCAGGTCATCGGAATACTACAATGCTCATCGTCAATGTTAATTTGGGGGCATGGAGTGATCTCTGTGTGTTGGCTGACAAAGAGTGGCCTCAGCAGCATTTTTCACTTCTGTGCCACCCACGCCCATCCTCATGCTTCTCAGCACTAGGGTCTTCTCTGGCACTGTCTTAGCTCATCACTGTGAGGTTCATCCCTATGTCATTTCTGGACGGAATGGGCCATACGTTTCTGAGTTTGCTAGAACCCCAATGCAGAGTCTTCTATGAGCAGAGGCCTATTCTAACTTGGTTGTGCATCTCAGTGATTCTCATTAGACACCATAATATCGGTGTTAGAGCAAAACAACTCTGGTCAAAGAAAACTTGTGTAAAATTATATCACACACAGGGTGTTAGTCTACAGAAAGAAGCAAAGGAAGAAATTGAGATATATTTAGAGAGGGAAGGAGGGAGGGAGAGAGAGAGAAACAGTTAATGATCAGGAACTTTGTGCCATATAAGCTGCCAACCAACAATTGGTACAGAGAGGAAGGAGAAGGAAAAGCTACACCTCCACAAAGGACAAGAATTAAGAGCAAGGCTTAAAGCATGGATGCAAGAACCTGAGGACGGGGTGAGGAGGGAGCTAAGTTGCCCAGGTGGGAGAGCCTTCTTCAGCCATAGTAGGTACCATTGGTGGAAACAGATGGAGGGAGGTACCAGTTACCCTCATGCATGAGGTGGGTGAGGAATCCTGGGAATCTGTGAGCCTGGATTTGAACCCCACAAATACAGTTTACTAGCCATGTGACCTTGGGTAAAATAGGCAGTTACTTCCAGGGTACCTTTGTCATTATTAATGGCATTGGGAAAAAATTACACTGCTCTTTCTATTGTATAAGGTACCTTGTCTCCTTCATGAGCATGCGGGGAGGGTCAAATCAGATCAGCATTTGCTTTTTGAAGGATACTGTGCTGTTTCAAAGTCATTACTCCAATAGGAACTTTTGTCTTTGTCTTCCTTCTCCTTAACAAAAACTTTTCTTTTTTCAGTCGTTTACAATTTGGAGAAACTAATTATGGCCATCTCCCAAAAGATGGCATTAAAATAAACTGCCTTCCCAGGTGTTCTGAGGAGAGCTATGGTTTTCATAGACTGCTCACATGTCAAACTGGCCCTTTCCTTTACCGCCACATGTCATCAGCCTCAGGGCACAGGATTTGGTTCGGCTTTTACGTTTTCATGTCTCTAGAGTTAGGGTGAGTCTTATAATCCATTACAGGTAACATTTAAGTTAGAAGTGTTTTCCTCTTTTGAATGGTTCATAAACACAATGGTGCCTTCATAAAATCAGGGGTTTTGTGGGCCTGACTTTGTAGTGCAACTGGTTAAGCTGTCAACAGTGGTACCAGCATCGCATAAGGACACCTGATTGTCAGCTGCCCCACTTCTAATCCAGCTCTCTGCCAATGTGCCTGGGAAAGCAGTGGAAATATCGTGGGTCCCTGCCACCTGTAAGGAAGATGAGAATGAAGTTTGAGGCTCCAAGCTTCACCCTGTGCTAGTGCTGGTTATTGCAGCCATTTGGAAGATGGAACTAGTAGTCAAAAGATCTCTCTCTCTCTCCCCTCCTCTCTGTAACTCTGTCTTTAAAATAAATAAATACATCTTTATTTTAGAAAGGGGTTTCCAAAGATGAAATGGAACACTGTTATTATGGCAATAACATGATCCTGAGCAGAATTCATTAAGGGGTTAAGTAGAAAAGTGAGACAAGGCAGCAGTTTCTATTGGAATCAGATCAGGAAACAAAAGACTGGATCTTTTTTTTTGACTGCCAACTGCCAAGAATTACCTGGATATTTGGATTCTGTCCATTGATATCAGCTTTGGAAAGATCTGGAAAGTTTGGTAGATCAAGGAGAAAGGATCTGGGGCCATCTCTTTGCAGTGAAGGGTGCCCATGCTCCTGGTGCAATCGCTGTCTGGGGAAGGGTTGGTGTGCAGCCTGGTGGTCTGGTTGCTCCCCTGCTGCTGCTTTGGAGAAGGGGAAGTTGGTTTCTGATGTGGAATCAGTTTCCATGTTGAGGTTATTCTAAAACAACAAACAAACAAACAGGAGAGACACAATTTAAAAACGCCACCCTTAACAGTCCATTCAACTCAGGAGTAAGGACAAGTCCAGAGACTGTAACCAAGCCAGCATGGTATTCCCAACTTGTTCTGCTCCCAAATGGTTGATCTGTCTGCAATTTAAGAAGCCAAAAAACAAGAAATATCTCCCGGTTCTGTTTCTTGGGAATTTTCTAAAGGTTAATGAGTTACAGCTTATTATTTAAGGGCCTGGCACGATGGCTCAATAGCTAAATTCCCACCTTGTAAGTGCTGGGATCCCATATGGGCACCGGTTTGTGCCCTGGATGTTCCACTTCCTCTGGGGCTCCCTGCCTATGGCCAGGGAAAGCAGTAGAGGATGGCCCAAAACATTAGGACCTGGCACCTGTGTGGGAGACCCAGAGGAAGCTCCTGGCTCTTAGCTTCAGATTGCCTCAGCTCCCGCAGCCATTTGGGGAATGAACTAGATGGAAATTCTTTCTCTCTGTCTCTCCTTCTCTCCGTAAATCTGATCTTCCTTTCTAATGAAAATAAATAAATTTAAAAAATTAATTAGGCATCAGAACACATCCAAACTAAAGTTTTGTTTAGAAAGAGAATAGCCAAATTGTGTTTTCTTTCTTCCAAATACAACCAATGGGCCAACCTGGCTTTAGTCACAGCCCTAGTGTGCAGAATTAATTCTATTGGTGTGGCCCATGGAGCAAAATATCTGGCTAAACTGGATAAAATACTCGAGCCAAATCACTGATTATACACTCTCTGTTCATCTGTAGTCTGTCCATCCAGCCATTCAGTCAATAAATGCCTAACTAACATAATGCACAAGAGATATAAGAATAAGCAAGACATTGCCAAGAATTACCTGGACCCACTCTTTTGATGTATATATCTGCCTAGAGTGAATATATGGTGCTTAGATAAATAAGTAAGGTTGGGTCAGAGCAGGGAGACTGCTAAAAAAGAGTAAGAAAAGGGAGATGACAGAGAATGGTTAGGGAAACATTGGACAGGCAGCCGGGAAACCTCTCTGTGGAGGTAACTTCTGGGGCAAGATCTGAACATCAGAAGGAAGCACCCCACAAGAATGGTGGGGAGGATTTTGTAGAGAAAAGGACAACAGCTAGGACCATCCTTAGTTGGAAATGAACTTGGCCAATTTGAGGAATAGTGAGGTCAACAAAACCAGAGGGGAGGATAAGGGATAAGAACCTCTTGCAATGAGGATGAAATAACGGGAATAGCCAAAGAAAATGTGATCAAATGGATTCTGCAAATACAGTGTTTTCATTACAAAAAGTGCAAGTTAAGTGTTTTTTTTTTTCCCCAGATAGTGAAAAGTCTATTTAATGTCTCTGAGGGAGAATTTTTCTAGTGATTAGAAAAGTCTGGAAGTTGCTGAACTCTTCCCAAACCAGCCCTTCTTCCCCACCTCCCATTCTCCCTTGACCTCTCATTGGAGGCTTCCTCCATTCCTTTGGGGATGGTGTTTCCATGTTTATTGGTGGTCAGAGATGTGGATAGAATTTCACCAGTGTTTGGGTCAGTGGTTAATGTGCTTGTTATTCCTTGGGCATGTTTTGGGGTTTGGGAGTGTAAATTCCAGTACGCTGTCTCCACACGCACTTGCCTCCCCCTCCTGCCCTCCTCCCCCGCCTACAAATGGCAGTGCCTTTGACCCAGCCAGAGAGTTACATCTGGTATCAAAACACTCAGGACTCTAAGCTTCCAAGGTCAAGAACAGCCTGAGGAGAAACACACACAGAGCACCTTTGTGAATGTTGGAAGCGATCAAGAGGACTCAGGAGAGCGCGTCTCTCCCCTCTAGAGCAAGCAGCGGCAGAGGGGAGAGCTGAGCTCTTCAGCATGTTTTTGCTTGCCCTTCCCTTTTGCCCAGGAGACATGGCCAGGGGCAGTGCCTTTGTTCACCTTTCCAGCCATCTCTGCCATGGTTTGTACCTCCTGGCACATCCTTGCACAGGGAGTTGCCCTGGCACTCTGAGGCACTGCTGAATGCAGTAGAGGCCAAATTGTATTATTCTTTGAGTTTAGGAGAGTGAGAGAAAGAGGGGGTGGAGACCGGAGAGAAGTGAGGAAAGGAGGGGAGGGGAGGGGAGGGGAGGGGAGGGGAGAAGAGGAGAGGAGAGGGGAGAGGAGAGAAGAGAGGAGAAGAGGAGAACCACACTCCCCCCCTCCCCGCAGACACACATGCACAGAGTCCAAGTGTTTTCTCAGCACTAAACCATAAGATTCTTTATCACACCCAGAGGAAGAGACAATTGCTCCCAGAGTCCCATCCTAAAATTTCCCCAACCGTGTTAAAGATGATACTTAGATTCTCATGGAAAATATCTGACACAAGACTTAGAACTCTCCAACGGACCCAGGATTTGTTTTCCAATTGCTGGGTTATCACTGCTAATCAAACCCTGTCTCCATCATAGCAGTAAGACATGCTGCTTCACAGGTTAAACGTAGAGCTCTTGCCGAAGCCATGGAGCACAGTGGTTAAGATAGTACTAGAACCCGTGTCTCCGTGCCTGGGCTCAAGTTTCAGTTCTATGCCCAATTCCAGCTTCCTGCTAACGTGCACTCCGGTTGGAGCAGGTGGTGGCTCAAGCAGTGGAGTTCATGGCCCCCACGCAGAAGTTCCAGATGAAGTTCAACAGTCCTGGTTTTGGTCTGACCCAGTCCAAGCTGTTGTAGGCATTTAGATGGTGAGCCGACAAAACAGAAATCTCTACCTGTCTTATTGTATCTCTCTACTCTTTAAATAACGTAGAACAAATAAAAATTTTAAAAATAGTGCTTTCTTTTCTTTCTCCAGAAAAAGAGGTAGGAAATGTATTTTTGCTGCTACTTAATGTTTTGCTTAGATGTCCAAAAAAAAAAAAAAAGACAGACTGAATCTGATTTCTTAATCTGACACTTAGATTTTCCTGGTAGGAAAGACCATTACCACAGAGTGATCCTGGCTTAGACCAAGTAAACTCCTTGACCTCTTCAAGGCCCTATGACCTTCTTTATAAAGCAAAGCACATAATGACAGGCCTGAACCCTCTCAGCAGGATGCTCAACAGCTTGAATTGGGTTGTGTCTACAAAGCAAAAGAGAAGTGTAGTATTAGGGCCTTTGGCAGAGGCACGTAAGCCACAGAGCCTCTGCTGGGACTGGTCAAACGACAGGAGCTAGAAGTATGTGTTGGCTTGAATTCTGCATACAGCTGTGGCAGTTCTCCATCTCTTTCCAACCAACTCATCCCCTCTCTCCCTCCCTCTGTCTCTGTCTCTTTCTCTCTCTCTCACACACACACATACACATACACACAGGCTCACTGTTTGCAAAGCGTTTAGAAGGTTGAAAGTAGCAAAACAATGCGAATCCCAGTCTCTGAATATCTGAATAATTCTTGCTCCCCTACCCAATGTATTTAACCTGCAGCTTGGCTCCCAGCAGTGGCATGTCCCCAACTCAGAAACGAAACACTGTAGGATGGGAGAATGGTGTCTGCAAATGAAATACACCTTTTTTTTTTTTCCCAATCAAAACCAAAATTTCCATTCGTTTTTTTCTCAAAGAGACACCCAGCACCCGCTCCTGGCAGGGTGGGATGCCACCTGCAGTCCTGACTGAGGCCCTCACTCCAGCCGTTTCCCAGCACACACACTGGGCATTCTACACATCAAGACACTCCCATGGGGGGAAGACTCGCAGGAAAGGAACATCTCCAAGTGGAGAGCTTGATGCTTTGTTTTTGTTTTTCTTAAAGACTTATCTGTTTATTTGAAAAGCAGAGTGAAGGGAGGGAGAAAGGAGGAAAGACAAAAGATATCTAGCGTTGTTCTATTCACTGTTCATTCTCTAAATGGCTGCAACAGCCATGGCTGTGACAGAATGAAGCTAGGACCCTAGAATTGTATTTGGACCGCCCCCCCCCCCCATGGTGAAAAAAGGCCAAGGGCTTAGGCCATTCCTGCTGCTCTCCCAGGCAGATTTATCAGGGAGAGGGATCTGAATTAGGGCACCTGGGACCCAAATTAGTACTCTGATATGGGATGCCAGCATGAGAATTGGCAGCTTCCCGTGCTACGCTACAGCACTGGCCCTAACAGCTCATGTGTTCTTCAAACAAGCCAACATTGCTGTCTGGAGTCGCTATCTTAGAAGTATATGGAAATCTAAGAAGGGAAACTTCACCATTGTTTCCAAGCTGCTGTAAGATCCATTTTCATGAAAGGAACAATGGCTTCAAAGGCTGATTGATAATGTGTAAGGGACACGCAGGAGCATGCCGGGTTTGGGAGGATATTTCTTTGCCCACCATGTGTCTTTGGGTTGCTCTTGGATCTTGAGTGAGCACTGACAATGCTGTGGCACCTGGAGCAAGGTCTCCTCTGGGAACTCTAAAGCTGTGACTGCCTGCGGAAGTGCAAATGGAAGCAGTGGGGCTAACACTACTGTGAGCTGTGTACCGGCATTGTTCAGCTGCTCGGGCAGATTATCTGTGTTGGTCAGTTTACCCCCACTTTCATGCACAGCTCCTGTCTCTGTGTTGATTTGTGGCTAATTCCCATCTGAAATAGGAATAGGAATAGCCACGTTCTGGATGTCTAGTATTCTCTCTTAGATGGCAGCACTGGGACAGATATAGCCATTGCCTACCCTATTTCTGTTCCCTTGTGTTTTTCACTCAGTAGTTGAAAACGACCTTTCCCAGCCCCCCAATGCAGCTGAGGAGACCACGTGACACGATTCTGCCTGGTGGAGTATTGGAGGGAGGTGGGGGATAGAACTGCTGAGAAGGGACTACATTGAGTGGTCCGTTTTCCCTTTCTCCTCTCTGCTTGCGGCAAGAACACAGTGCTGGGAGTGACACGAGGCAGCTGTGGGATACAGAGACGGAGGCTGTGACATACTGGAGTGATGGAGGGGCCCAGGCCCCCACAGGCACCGCAGAGCTACTGCACCAGCCCAGGGAGT